AACAAAATCTGAGAGGTGGTCATTTAATCTATAGTGTCGCAAGCATTCTTTACAATTTACAAGTCATTCAAGGGACTGAATGTGTTAAAAAAAGTGTTTTTTAATAGTTGGAATTGTCAATCACATTAGCGAAATTGAATGCTATTTCCTACCATATTCACCTATATCTACACTTACAGGTGATATGTAGGTTGTTATAGTAGTATGCTTAGTAATTTAGAGAATGTCTGAAATTTATTTTTAATTTTTTTTTACCACTGCCACCTTAAAACAACTACATAATGGTTTTGACAGTATAATAATGTAATGTTTTGTTTGTAGGTAGAGACTGACATCACTGTGTATATTAAATGTGAATGACCATGAACCAGAGTTTATTGGAGCTCCGTATGTAGCAGATGTTGATGAGGTAAGAAACAAATTTTAATTCCAATATCAAAAGCAAAACGTTTTAAAAAAACATGAGAATTATCAAAAATATAACTTGGAGGATGACTGAAACAGCCATGAGATGAAAATGGTTGCAGACTAGACATAAAACTGAGACAGAAACTTGATATCATCAAAGTTCACTTGTCTTCTAGCATGAATGGTATCCCAGCTTACCTCATTCACAGACCATTGCATTATTACACAACTGAAATAGTGCATTGTTGGTAGACCTGTATTGATTGAGGTAATAAAAATGGCTGCCACAATAGCCATGACATTTTGTATGTTGCAGTTTCCACTACAAAATATTTATACAATTCAACCATTTTATTTTAACAAATAATTTTTCTAGTTGATCTTTGGCCTCTGTTTTTGTATCGTGTAGTACTGCAAATGGTGGATGTAGTACTGTTTTTGGAAAAATATAATAATTACAGTAACAATTTCATGTCCGTATTTAACTTTATTTATGTAAATAAATGAGTGCAATTAGATGTAGTTTGTAAAAATGTAAAAACATAAAGAAAAAAATATGGCATATTGTATGCTAATTAATTTGTAAATTAGCCACATCCTCCGAGTCGACCAAAAACCTTGTATTGTACCAATGACAATTATTATTGTTTCCTTTGTTTAGTGAATGTAAAAAGAATTTTAAAGAAAGAAATTATTAACAAAAAATATGGCACCCATTTTGGATTTATAGTGAAATTTGTGAATAAAAGGCAATGAAACTAAAACAAATCATTTCAAGATTCCTTTGTTCTTTTTGATATTTCATTCAGCTGTCTGCAATAATATCGAATATATAACTAGTATTGCAACTGGTTTCTGTTCTTACAATTTTCATGAATGTACGCTATCTGTTATGATAACATTGTTTGTTTTTTCTAATTGTATAGGACACAGCTGAAGGGACAGTGATAACTACTGTCACTGTAGTTGATAACGATGTTGGTAGCAGTGGAGGCTGTGCAATTACAATAACAAATTTAGGTGTAAGTGCATATATTGAACTACTGTAGAATACTTTATTTTCGATTGGAATTAATCGTCGCTATTTTTGCTAAAGAAATAATTCAGTGAAAATAAAATTCAGCAATTGTACTTTTTTCTTTCTTAATTTTATGTTAAAATTACATTAAAATCAGTGAAAAAAATCCGTACAAAATATTTTCAGCAATGATTAATCGCAGCTTTGCATTATCTATCCTGAAGCTGTGTTATTGGATATATTTTATTTGTATAGAGTTTGACATATGAAGTAGTATATTGTGTAACAACTATGGTATTTAGATCAGAAGTTGTTAGCAAACAGCCAGGCATTTATATAGATTTGGCTGTGATCAAGTTTTCAAAATCTCAGGGCATCAACAAGTCCATCAAATTACACAGGAAACTGACGTTCCTCTAAATGCGATCTACTTAATTATTCAAAATTTAGGGGATTTGATTGATGAACACCTGCATTATTCACTTGGTTTACACAACACTGTTTCAGGAGAACACTAATTAGCCCTGCCGAATCTGGGATCCAAAAGGGGGGCTTATAAATTAAGTCGTGTGTGCATATATGTGTTACCAGGTTTTTCTCACACATGTATCATCCAATTCAGTTCAGAGTTGGTACAGAGACAGGTAATAATTGTTCACAAGTGCACATTGTTTTATATGTTGATCAAGTTTATTTATTTGGCTTTTCTGAGACAATTTATATTTTTTACCCCATTCCCCCTAAAATTGTTCCACATCAATTCAGAACAAGCGTTCATAGCGACGTCGCTTTTTGATCCTTCGATGTCGGCTCTTCCTATCATTGCGAAGCAGAATTTTAGTGCAGCTCATAATGGATAAATTCACACACAAACCCAGTTCAATATCAGTTTTAAATTGTTTTCTGTGTGGGGACTATGGCATGGCATGTCATGTCTTGTTAAATAGGGTTTATACAGTTTATGTGTTGGCAACTTTAATATTTTCTTGTCGTGATTTTCTTGTCATTGAAGTATCACAAACAAATTTCTTAGTTTCTTTAAGTACTTACATGGTTCTCTTTGTTGACATTCTGTAGGACTATGCAGGTATGTTTTATATTAACTCATCAGTTGTGGCAGAAAAAACAACAGTTGCTGATATTTACCTCACAGGAAGCCTTGATTTTGAAATTTTAAGAGTGTATACACTGGATCTGTTTGCTGAGGTAAGTACATGTACATGCACATGTACACCAGTATATAGAGTAATTATTACGTCAGTAATACAAATACATTCTCTGACAAACATAATGCAAAATAGTCTTCCCTAAAGTACATGAGGTATTGAGCAAAAACTTTACTTATGGTTTTACCTGCATTGACTAGGAGGCACTAACACATTACCATCTGAAAGATTCCATTATCGGTAGCTAAAATGTATGGGAAAAAAAATGACATCAGCAGGTGACCTTATGAGCAGGTTTGTTGAATAACAATACATACCCCGGTATCTGTTATACATGATAAATTCTGATTCTTGCGACCCCCAAATGTAAAAATTTGAATATGTGCTGTACAAATAAACCTGTTTCCATTTGAACCCAGTGCCATACCTCTGTATGTGTCAGGAGAAACCCATTCATTTACAGATATGGACACATAGCAAAAATACACTAATAACTCTAATACTGTGTGGGTATTTTTTTTTTAACTATAGGATTTTGGTACGGACCCAGGACCACTAAACAGTACTGCAACACTATATGTTAATGTTAAGGATGTTCAAGATATGCCACCTCAGTTTCTTGGACTTCCTTA